TTTTCTTTTCAAACTGATTAGGACAAACGCTACAGAAAAAATTGCTGAGGGCTGAGAAAGGAATAACTTAAGAAAACTTTTGCTACCAGAACAGTTCCAGTAAAAAACAATAACCCTTACCGGATGATTGTGGCTGATGGGAATTCCTCTCGCACAGCCTGCTCACCGTAAGCTTTAGTGCGCAAAAACTCAGAACCTTTTTTTAATATTCCAGGTGGTGGATTAGTAGAGGCACTCAGAGCAGATAGATGAATGAACCTAAATAACGCGACAATGTTTCAGCATTCTTCAGACAGATGCTTAAAATACTCTTCTACTAAAGAAATTGAAATTTCAATAAAATTCCAAAGTAGGAGAAAAATAAGAAACTAATGCATTTTTTCATTAGAAGAAAAAAGCATAACCTTTCAACACCCATTTCACGAGCAATGCGGGCGAGCCTCCTAGCACCATCAACATGAGTGTCAGCAAACGAGAAATTTGATGTTTGGTACCTCGTACCAATTAAATTTACGACAATATTGCTATATTTTAAAGTACGCCTGATAGACTCCTCATCTTTCAAATAGAACGGGAAAAAGAGAATTTGCCCCAACTCACCAGTAACCTGTAAATCCCAAATTTCCCAAGAAAGCTCAAATCGATTAATTTTTGTCTTGTTCTCAACACTTTCCCAAAAATTTTTAGCTACTAGCAATCTCCCAATGAAAATGAGAAAAACAAATACCAGTAAACAAAAAAAAAAAAATGTTACCTTATGCTCCCGCATATAATACGGATCCTGCCTATATGGTAAAACTAACTGATTTCCATATTTAGCAAGGCGGTTAACCACTGAAAGACCTATAAAGCCTGTACACCCAAAAACCGTTATTATATTGCCAGAAAAACTAGCTCGGCCACCTTTACCCTAAAAAATTACAAATTATACTTAAATTTCATGAGAATCCTCTATCAAAAAACACTCCTCAACGCAAAAAAAAAAAATCATGACCAGTATTCAATAGGAGTTAAGGACTACATCTCAAAAACTAACTTTCCGGAAAGAAGCATTTAACCCAGAAACATAAGGAGTTGGAACATCACTTGCATCAACGGCACTACAGTGGAAGAGAGCAATTGAGGCTCTTGATGGAACAACAGCGAGCCGAATACCTCTCGCGAGCATTCCTGGCTAAATTTCATACCATTACGCACATAAGAGTTCATCAGAAGCCGTTTACGCTCGAATTACAATACAAGCAGATAAATATGAGCTGGAAATATACTGTGGCATATTTCGACCAAAATTCCAAACAATATGAACAAGATTCGGTACTTTCAAAACTGTATTATTCTTTTAAAGATGATGAGATTTATTTCAAAAATAACTGCACTTTCAATCAAAAGTTTTGCATGACAAAACTTAACAGGGACCAAAGTACATAAGAACAGTCGGGAACCAAAGGAAAAAAAAAAAAGAAACTAATAAAGTATAAATCAAAAACACAGATTCTCACTAGAATAATCAAAAAGAGTCTGTATTTTCAGTGGTCAAAAGACATGATAATACCTTCAATTAGAATACATTTCTAAAATACACAATAATAATTGCAAAGATCACTTAAAGACCCAAAAATTGATAAACACCTAATTGAACCTAAACAGTCCATGAAATTTTTATTAGTTCGCCAACAAATCCTTTTAGATATATTATGAACTAAGTCCGTACGCACCGCCACTCTATAAAATAATTTCGTTAAATATAGTGCAGATCATATTTTTTCGGTTAGCAAAATTAAGACAAGCATGAAGAATTTTAACTGCAGAAATCATTTATATGGATGAAAAAGTTTAGGAAAGGCCGCTCATCAACTAAAATTCAAACCATGACTGACATTAATGGCCAAGCATTCCTCCTCAGAGATAGGTCTTGGTCGAAGGAATTCTGGAAGCTCCGTACAAGTCATTACCCGGCCGTAAGACGAGAGCTTGCTGCCTGAAGAATTTCGGTCAAAAACAAGTGACGATATCAGTAAAAAGTAAAGACGGCTATCAATCAAAATAGTGCAATTAGGACTTTGAAACAAACCTTCTGAAACGCTCTTGTTTGTTCTGTTCAGATCGCCTTGAACAGAATTTACGAAAGCGGGTAATTTTGAACTGAAAGAATTAAATTACAAATAATAACACAAGACGATTACAAAACAGCTTCATTTTCTACAAAAATACTCCATATTGAATACAAATAAATGAACTAGAATTTACACATTAAGCACAGTTTGTCCCTTAAAAATACTAATCAAACTATTACGTACAATCTTCTATTTCACATCAGGTTTGGTGCTTAAATGAGAATACGTCAATCTGCTCAAAAAATGAATTGCTAAAATTTCACAATTTGCTCTAAGTTGTTTCCCTCAAAAACCTGGCCAACCGAGACAAGTCTTCAACCCATATTTAACTCTGAACAACTCCTGTGCTGTACTTCCCTCCCCCTTACTTCTTCTTGAAATATCCAATTAGAATCAGAAATATACCCTAGAATATTTCAAATTATTAACTGCAAGCTACAGAAAAAAAATCTGAAAAAGACAATTTAAGAAAACTAGATTTTGTTAAAATTTTTTTTTATCACATAAGCTACCGTGATAAAAATTTTCCAAGCTCACCGGCCAACCATTATCCAAAACTTTGCTGGATTCTTTTCTTGAATTCCCAGTTAGGCTTAGTCTAAACAAGGTAGCAAATGTTAGAACTTGCAGCATGCTCTAACTGAACAGAATTCCAGTTTTAACAACTCGGGGAACTAACCTCTGCTGGTTCTCAAGTCAAATGATGCTGACTTTCGCACTAAAAAGCGGATAATTTTTTTAAAATTATACTGCTTCGTCCAAAAATTTCCCAAACCTAATGTAAAAGTTAAGCCCATAAATTCAGCGGAGGTGAATACTCATAAGATACAAAAATTGTATACGTAATAATTAAAACAACAAAAAAACAGCTTCAAAGCTGCAATTCTGTACTTCCTTCCTGAAATTTCTTTTATTATGCCCACTCTCTCCCTTTCAAAATCTTACTCCAATCTCCTTCAGTAGAACTGTTGTGCGATGAAATGATGCGTTACGGTTTTTAATCCTTCAAATGCTCAAAAGACCTAAAGTGCAAGATAGAAACCTTACGCGATTTAAAAATATAAGTTCCTTTGAAAAATTTTCTGCCGAATATCATGCATAAGCGTTGAAAAAAAACAATGCAAAGTACTTTATGTAGTTACTCACCTGGAAAACATATTCAAAAAATAAAAGGCAAAAGCGGTGCAAAAAGGAACATCATTCAAGACGGAAAAATGTAGGGAAAAGCCCACCAGATGAAAGAACCGAATCGAAAAGTCTTTCAAGAAAGGCCAGTTCGCGACTAGGGAAAGAGCAAAAAGTAGCGAGTTTAACATTTTATAAAACAACTTCTAAAAGCAGCCTGAAAGCTTCAATAAAGTAGCATTAGAAATTTTGGTAACATACCTATCAAAGTGAGGTCGCGGCAGTCGCGCACCAATAAACTTGATTAAAGGTATATGCTGCTGAACGCGAATCATCTACAATGTCTGAGAATATTATGGGAAAAAAAACACCAGAACTATCAAACGACCAATAATTAAAAACAACGGCTCAACGCTAAATATAACAAAGACGAGAACAGTTAAGTAGTTTCAAAAGACACACCTTATATTAAAACTTTGCTTATTAAGACCCTATACCCATGGAACACGTGTAATATTTGGATGGAAAAATCCTTACAACTAACGATGGGTTGCATAATAAAACGTGAAAACAGTAGTCGGAATACAAAAACTCAGTATGAAACCTATTAATAAAAAATCAAAAGTAAAAAACAACTTAGTTTTCTTTTTAACGTTTAGAAAACAATCCCATCTAACAGCACGTTTTTCACTAATTCTTCCAGTTCTTCCACGTTTAAGTGATCAGTAAACCCATTCCTCTACAAATCTAATGTGGTTAAAGAAACGTGTCATCAAAAACTATAAAAATCTTGAAGCTGAACTCTCTGAAACAGTTAAAAGTTTTCTAAAACTAAGAAAA